AATGAGAAGCGCAATTATTCTGTTATCTAATGTTTACAAATCCAGTTGTTTGATTATTATGCTTTTTTTAAACTATGTTTATGGATTATAATGATTAATGTTAGTTTATTAGTTTATTCTGTGTGTCTAGTGTTTATTATTGGTCTCGTTTGGATTTGCCTTATTTGTTGTTGACAGCTTTATTGTTCTACGCAGTGTGCCTTTCTTGAGTTTTAAAGATATCGTCGTGTTTAATTTGCAGATTATGTGTTAGGTCATGTAAGGATACTTATCAAATTTTTTTTTGCGAATGGCCACCTCCCTTCTTGATTGACCTCCTTTGTTTGTCCAGTAAAAAGCGTCCAATGACAGGTGGCACTTAACTCATTCATCACTTAACACTTCACTCTTCATTGACTGTTGCACCATTTTAGTTTGGTTTGCACTCTTTTACGTTTCAAGAGCACTCGCTATCGCGTGGTCCCTTCTCAAGTGCTGGAACCTAACTGATAATAGTGTATATATACCAATCACTAATAAAATAATACATTATGCGTTTTCTAAGGATATAAAAAATATATATTAAAAACATGCCCTGATGAAGCAAAACCTACTACAGATTGGTCGTCCAAAGACGCAGGTTGTGTCACAAAAACTAAACTAAACCAAAATCGACGTGTTTTGGCTTTTGCCAATAATTTAAACATCAGGTGAGTTATTTAAGGTAGTTCGTTTTAGATGAAACACACTATATAGTAGGTACTGTAGTAGAGGTAGAGGTTGTCAAACCTGTTTTGCAGTGCAGGGACTACATATTTTTTTTGACGAGGAATACTCGAAAAACGTACTAGATTTTGATGCGGCGTACTGTTGTACCTACTAGAATGTCAAAGTCTAGTACAAACAGTGTTGCCAGGTAGCTTTTTAATAAAGCGGTAGATGTCGTTACTGTAGTTTTTAACCACTTCACGGAAAACAACTTGAAGAAGTATCGCCGACGGTGGACGAGTGGTTAGTGCTACTGACTACAAGCCGGAGGTCGTGGGTTCGAATCCCACCAGGGGTATGGCTGTTTATTTGTGTTTGTCCTATTGTGTAATAGTCCTTCGGAGGGGACTTTAAGCCCGCGGTCCGTTCCTACCCCTAACCCGCACAAGCCATTCAGTTAGCTTATGGGACTTCTTAAGAAGTAAGGGTGGAACTAAAAGAACACTTTTGTATAAAAACTTTTTTTTGTAAGTCAAAAATAATAATCAGGTTATTATTAAGTTAACACCATTTCACAATGAGGAATTTATGTCAAAACTACAAAACTTTCAAATGTTAATTACATTATGCATTAGGCTCGGTCTACAATTGTCGCAGAAGAGAGCTTATGTCTTACTTCAAACCAACACAGAACAAGCACTGTGATTGGTTTCACGTAAGCCGGCTTCTGCGACAATTGTATGTAGATGTGATTGAATCAACTAATCAAGTCATCTCAATATTTGGTTTTAGGCAAACAAGATCTTGTTTCATTTGAAATGTAAGATATAAATGAGCATTTTTTAATTATTTTAAGATGTTTTTCAAAATCAGTACATCTACCGCTAAAACTGGAGACTTGCCAACACTGAGTACGAACATACTGACACTGGATATATTGTCGTGGGTTCTCTGGTGACACACCTGTTTGGTTCAGTTACAGTTCTTATATAGTAGATAATATTATTTATCTATATAGGTATATTTACCTAGGTAGGTATGGGTAACTATTTCAGTAAAAAAATTGCGATTTTGCATACCTAATATGTTATTAATCATACTTAATACCTGATTTTTAAAATAATTTAAAATTTAATTATTAAATTTTAAAATAAATATAATAAACTTAAATATTATATTTAAGACACCAACACAATTCGTAATTGTTATGTAAGTTGATATAGGTAGCAATTGTTGCTATTGTATATTACAATAGCAAAAATTTGTATTATGAAAAAATATAAACAAATTAATATTATTATATATAACCTAGACTAGGTAACTAAGTTACATAATAATTTATTCAAAAATATTTAACAGTGCAGAACTATTATAGTTATAGTATAATACTCATCCAAACTGGTTTAAATTAAATTAATTAATAAAAGGAGAAACTACCCTTGTGTACAAACAAAATATTTGCCTTAAACATAGGTATATACAGGGTGTCCCAAAAGTCAACGATATCCTTTGGAGGAAACCAACTCATGACCAACCAGAAAATCAAAACATGACCTTAGTAAAAAATCGTTAGTTTTTGAGATATAGTCATTTTTATGAATTTTGTAAAACTTGACACCTTATATCAGTTTTTCAAGTGCCACAGCTACAAAATTCCATATTCTTAGATTATATTTTATGTTGTGCAATCCTAAAAATGCCTGCTATTGATTACAGTTCAAAATAAAACTAATAGCAGTTTTTTACCTTTTGAAAACAAACATTTTTGCCCGATTTTATAAGTTTTTTTATTAGCTAACTTCGACCGTTCAGACTGTAAAAAAATATGTCACGCAAACTTGGCAAGTATTTTAAAAATTGCTAATTTAGTGTAATATGCCATGTTATACTTTAAAGAAAAAGATATTGTTGTTTTACTGCAATTTCAATATTTAGGAATTTAAACAAAAACACTTCTTTAATGAAAATAACAGATATTTAATTAAAAACAAACGAATCACAAATAAAAATTAAAGAATGTGTTCAAAATGCCTGCCACCAAGTCGAATGCAAGCGCGGCATCTTTCTAAAAATGATCGTTTTATCTGTCTTGCACTTTCTGCGTCTTTTATTTGCTGTGCGGCTTCATTAATTTGGTCTCTCAATTAATGTAAGTTATGAATTACTATTCTATAGACTTTTTACTTTATGCAACCCCAGTAAAAAAAATCGAGGCCACAAAATGGGACCAAGACGGCCGATCCATCTCTTTGGATAAACCTGATCCAAATAATTTCTTACTTCCCGTGCGTAATGAGCTGGAAACCATCATGTTGAAGCCACATTGCCCTGCGTGTGGCGACAGGCACATCATCCAAGAAAATATTGTAATTGCAATACCAAATTTATTTTTATTTACAACCACAATATTGTTTGTTCTTTCTTAACTTAATTGTAAGATGTCACCTTTAAACAAAAAATATTGTAATTTCAACACAAAATTTAATTTTAATAACAATTACAATATTTTTTGTTCTTTATTATCAAAACTTCTTTATCCACTTGAACCTTTAATTGTGTGTTTGTGTTCCGTGTTTGACGTTTGACTACTCATTATGCCGTACCAGTATACTGCTCAGGAATATGTAAACATGCATTACATTTATGGTGAATGCAGAGGTAATGGTGTAGCTTCAGCCAACCTGTATCGGGAAAGATACCCGAATGCTTTGAGATATCCTGATTATCGCGTCTTTATAAATGTTCACCAAGCATACGCTGAAGGCAGAATGCCTCACAATCGTGCTAGAATGGGAAGACCATGTATGGATTATGATGAAGAGGTTTTGCAAGAAATTGAAAATCACTCAACAACTTCGGCGCGAGCAATTGAAAGGCGTACAGGAATACCGAAATTCACTGCAAACAGAATTACACGACGGTATCAGTATCACCCATATCACGTACAGCGGGTGCAAATGTTGCTTCCTCGTGACTACGCAAGACGTGTCCAATTTTGCCGCAGAATGTTGCAGAAACATAGGGAAGACCCAGAGTTCCTGGATAGAATTTTATGGACTGATGAATGCACATTCCATAAAAATGGTTTTATGAACATGCATAATCTTTATTATTATGCACTTGAAAATCCACATTTAATTCGAGAAGAAAGGTCACAGTATCGCTTTAAAGTGAATTTGTGGACCGGCATCTTGAACGGCCAACTAATCGGTCCCTTTGAATTACCTGAAAATTTAAATGGGGAAAATTATCAAGAGTTTTTGGAAAACAAACTGACAAATCTTTTGGATGATGTGCCTGTCGCCACACGCAGGGCAATGTGGCTTCAACATGATGGTTGTCCAGCTCATTACGCACGGGAAGTAAGAAATTATTTGGATCAGGTTTATCCAGAGAGATGGATCGGCCGTCTTGGTCCCATTTTGTGGCCTCCCCGGTCTCCGGATTTAAATCCTTTCGATTTTTTTTTACTGGGGTTGCATAAAGTAAAAAGTCTATAGAATAGTAATTCATAACGTACATTAATTGAGAGACCAAATTAATGAAGCCGCACAACAAATAAAAGACGCAGAAAGTGCAAGACAGATAAAACGATCCTTTTTAAAAAGATGCCGCGCTTGCATTCGACTTGGTGGCAGGCATTTTGAATACATTCTTTAATTTTTATTTGTGATTCGTTTGTTTTTAATTAAATATTTATTATTTTCATTAAAGAAGTGTTTTTGTATAAATTCCTAAATATTGAAATAATTTAACAATAAACTCGTTTTGCAGTAAAACAGTAATATCTTTTTCTTTAAAGTATAACATGGCATATTACACTAAATTAGCAATTTTTAAAATACTTGCCAAGTTTGCGTGACATATTTTTTTACAGTCTGAACGGTCGAAGTTAGCTTATAAAAAAACTTAATAATAATAATAAAATCGGGCAAAAATGTTTGTTTTAAAAAGGTAAAAAACTGCTATTAGTTTTATTTTGAACTGTAATCAATAGCAGGCATTTTTAGGATTGCACAACATAAAATATAATCTAAGAATATGGAATTTTGTAGCTGTGGCACTCGAAAAACTGATATAAAGTGTCAAGTTTTACAAAATTCATAAAAATGACTATATCACAAAAACTAACGATTTTTTACTAAGGTCATGTTTTGATTTTCTGGTTGGTCATGAGTTGATCCCTAGGGATGAGCTCATTCCTCCAAAGGATATCGTTGACTTTTGGGACACCCTGTATATATATACCTAACTATATTTGATTTCATTTAATTACCAGCAGAGTGTTAATTGATTTTATTATTATAAGTTACCTCTAAAAAAATAGCAGCTTCGTGATAATTCATTTCCCAATGATCGGCTTCATTTTCAGTTTCTCTACTTAGGCTGGATCTTGATCCCATTTCTTCCATAGTATCTAAAAATTTAAAACAAGACAATAGCAAAAACGTAGTTATAGTTAATTTGCTTGTTTTAATTATTGACTGAAGTCAACAATTGTTTCAATTAAAATTGATGACATACCCAAAAACATGCTTGATTTTGCATTTGCCAGTACTTAACATATGGGAAAACTAAATCGCCTTTTTATTGTATGTATGTGTTAAACATTTTAAATATTTAAATAAAGCTACTTTAGTAAATAAAATTTAATTTTATCCAAAAATAGACCTTATTCATACGTGACATACAGACATCCAGATGTCAAAACAATTGATAATGCGAGTGATAAGAAACTTACTTGGAAGATTCGAGCCGTAAGAGGGGTTGTTCGCATTTTGTATGAAATTTTGGTAGCCGTCGTCGTCTGGAGAATTCCTGGTGGAAGCCATTGGATTCGACTGCAGTCAAGCAAAACTCGCGTTCATGTTTTTAAGGCTTACAAAAAGGAGCACCAATACATACTGCCATCTGGGTTGCCTATCTGTTAAGAATGACTCATTATTTATCATGACGTAATTACTATACAGGGTGATACAATTGTCTCTGTTCAAATCACGGGTGAAAAATTCTCAGAGAACGTCTTGTTACCAAGACGTTCTCTTTTTGAATGTTGCTCCTGTTGTCAATTTTCTTTTTCCTTATATTCTCTTTTCAAACAGGCAAAATCAAATTTTGCTTTATAGTTAAGAATTCTTCTTCAAGTGCAAAATTGTTTTTGTTTTTTAATGAAAAACATTTAACTAATACATATATGTACCTATATATATGTGTTCTAATTTTCAATAAATTATATTAGGTATACTATCAATGAAAGGTATCTTAAGATACATATATGCATATATGTATCTTAAGATACCTTTCATTGATAGTATAATATAATTTATTGAAAATTATATTCTATAGAAAACATACTTAAGTATGTACATACTAATGTACATAGTAATTATTTGGAAATATATTTTAAATAATTTACATTATGGTAACTCTTAATAAAAAAACAGATTTAAAATATTTATTGCAAACTTTTTACATAATTGACTTAATAATATAGTAACAAACTTTAACAAATTGTCATTTTAAATAATTGTACAAAAAGACCAATGCCCCTACACTCTAACGATATGTAATATAATGTAAAAATATATGATTTGGTATAAAACAATAAGTAATTGCACTTTATAATGTTGATTTTTCTCCAAAAAACTGATCCAATTCATTTTGATCAAAGTCTAGTTGGATTTCTTCAAGTAAGGCACTTTGTTTCTTAGGTAGTTTAAGTTCTAATAATATTAAAATTTAAACAAATTATTAAACAAATTTTTAAAAATAATTAGGTAACTTACTTGGAATAGTTCCTAAATTTTTGTAAACTTCTAAATCACTTTTAAACGCTTCTTGAAAAACTTTTTGTCTTTCTTCCAAAATTTTCTTTTTATTGGCCTCATGTTTCAGTATTTTTTTCTGATGATCAGTCTCTAAATTAGTTTTAAAAGACCCCAAAGATTCTAAAATATAATAATACATTATATACAGATGGATTCACTATTATTACAAGGAATCCTATTTTAATTTATTATTATTTAAAGTTTGATTTCTTGCATGAAAATAAGAAAAAAACAACAAAACAATAACTACATTTTTGATGTTTTCTTGTTATTTAACATTACCAGATAGGATTTGTGTTAAATCACATATGAGCTCACACAGTATTTTTTATAAATTACCTTGTTTTCTAACTTCATATTGTTTTAAATGATATGCATGCTGTTTTTTTATGTTTTCAAAATCATTTAAATTAATTAAATCCTCTAAAGCAATTAATCCTTTTTCCACATTGTTGCAAGTGTCATGGAGATTTTTTACTTGTTTTAAACAATTAGAAATATTTGCAGTTAAGTTGCTTTGCGTTAAAATATGTGTAATAAGGCCAATATCTTCTTTTTCACTTTTAACATGTTTCGATATGTTTTGTATTTCATAAGCTAAATCCTCTGCTTTTGTGGCGTTTTCTTCATTTAACTTATGTATAGCAGCCCATTGTTCCTGATACTTGCTTAGTATTTCAGCACCAGCAAAATAGTTAATGGAACTTTTATCGTTCTTATCTGGCTTCTCTTCAGTGTTGAAGAGGTTAACATTTCTCTTTACACTTAACAATTTTTCCTTAATACTAGATAACATTTCACATATTTTTATATAATGTATTAATAACAATGCATGACAGTTTTTTCTTTAGTTTATTTGGTTAAAAACATTGTTGTTTATAAATTTTGGAAACGTCATGAGTTTTTGACAGATGTCAAGAACAACAGCATGCATTTTATCAAAATTTTTTTTGATAAAAGATATCTTTGTTCTACACAAATTTTTATATCCGCTTCTGCATTTTTTATATGAGAAACTTTCTAGAAATGGCAAGATTAACGATAAGCGTAATAAATTAAAATTTACAAAAAATTGCTACTTTTTATACTTCGTAGGTATTAAATAAAATTTATATTTAATATTAATAAATTTTCTTCCGCTTCCGCATCTCAGTAATTGGTAAATTTCTGCAAAAGCGAAGCAGATGCGGCATCTGCTTCGCTTTTGCAGAAATTTACCAATTACATCTCTTTCCACTTCTGCTATGCGCACTTCAGTTGCATCACTCACTTAAGTGAGTGATTAAAATTTTAATATCTTTATTTTCATTTTAACTGTCCTGTACAATTGCTTCTAAATAATAAGTACACTTATAACTAGAAATTTTAATAACATTTTGTCCATGATAATACAATAATTAAATGAAAATAATGAATACTCCTAATCAGCACCCTGTGCTGGGACGGAGACTGTAGCGATTTTTTTATATTTCGTAGTCATTTAAGAAATTCTTTTTCAAGTTTTCCTTAAACAAATTAATATTTTTGATTGATTGCGGTAAATGTTATAAATTTCCATACTACGATTTATTGGATTATTCAAACCTATACTGGATTATTCAAACCTATATTATATATATATATATATATATATATATATATATTATAAGTAGATTTTGCTTTGATTTCTAGTATTATGATCATAAATCTCTTTGCATAATATAAATTTATGATTAGTTTTATGATTTTTATTGATTGTTTTATGTACTATCGCTAACAAAAAAAACTCATACAGCTATATTGTGGCTGTGTGAATAAAACTTTTCCGTCAATGTCAAGCTGACATCGAGCTTTGTCACATCCATTATGACTTTTTTAACAACATTTTCAACCAAACAATGCAGACGAACTCTGGCAAGCCATTGAAGCCATTTGGAACGAGATAAAGCAAGACGGCGACTTCCATGCTTTGCCGTTTGCGGGCAGTAATTGACAAAAACAGAGGGATGACGAAATATTATTTTTTTTTCAAACTTCAACCTAACTTTGTATTTAATTTTAGACCTTTCAAATGTGACGTATCATGTTAAAAGCCATAATTACTCCAACGAAATGATAGAAAATCAGGAACACTAGATTTTTAAGCTGTATGAGTTTTTTTTGTTAGCGATAGTACTACCTAATTTACATTGTTAAATTTTTTTTAAATTAAATGGTGAACTGTATAAAATTAAAAGGCGAAAAGGTCAGATACGTAGGTATACAAATTTTTATTTTCTTTAAGACTTCAGAATTGATTTCTATAGAAAAAATCACACAGGTAGGTATACATATATTTTTTCGTCTTCTTTATAGACTTCAGAAGTGGTTTCTATGAAAACCACTATGAAAACCACTTCTAAAGTCTTAATTAAAAAATAAACTCAAAATAATGGTAGCAAGTATAAAATTTATTATCCATAAGTACAAAAGAATACAAGAAAATTGCCCAAGCTAGGTATATTATGTACATTTTTTTTAAACATGTTATCTACTTTCTATAAAGATATTAAACATAAAATTTATTTTAAGAAATCCTGTTATTCTAGTATAAAATACTGTAATTATATTAAACCACAATAAATAAATGACAGTAGGTATCTTATTTTATTGCTCATCTTTGTCTTTAGCACCATGTTTAAGAATGCGGGTGAATTCGACATAGTCAAACAATCCTCCTTTGATTGGAGCTTCACGGTACATTTCATCAACTTCATCATCAGTGAAACGGTCTCCCATGGAGGTTAAAAGTTCACGAAGCCTCTCTTCATTTATTAAACCGGTGTTTTCTTCATCAAAGCAGCCAAAAGCGTTTTTTATAACATCTTCAGGGTCTGTACCTTGAAGACGTTCACCAAAAAGTGTTAAGAACATGGTGAAGTTAATTGGTCCCGGAGCTTCATTCATCATCCCATCAAGGTAATCATCATTTGGGTTTTTGCCTAAAATTAAAATATACAGTATGTCTCAGTATCTTGGAATCATATGGAAAACATTTTTATTATTAATTTTAGGAAAAAAAGTTATTCTTAATAAAAAGTTCTGCATGGTGTAAAACTTAAAATGCAACCCACAAATAATATTTTTTTTTAGTCGTATACGGGGTATGTCAAAAAATATGAATTTGGCTCAAGAGTAAAGTACCTTTATATTTGACAATATCGAAAATTGTTATAAAGAAAAGTTAATCAGAACTAAAAACTACGTTCAAATATGCAATTACATCCATTTACATTAAAAAAAATATTTTTTCTTTTTGTCTACAATATCAATGCAAATTTAACTGTAACATGTAATCTAGGATTCACTGATAAACAATTTGTTGATATTCTAATACTTTTTGGCCTGCTAGATCCCCTGACTTAACTTAAGGTTTTCATGTTTTTTCTAATCATAACAGATAAATGTTCATTTAAAATAGAAAGATTAGTAAAAATTAACAAAACCTAATTTTTTAATGTAAATATGGGGCAAAATTTGCCAAGTGTACCAGGTGAAAAAATTTTTGTCACCGATTTTGTTTAAACTTTACTTATTTGTTGTTCTTATAACGAAGAATCATAGCATAAATTTTTTTTGCTTTAGGATTGTTCATTCAAGAGTTATGGATTATTGAAATTTATCGATTTTTTACTTTTTGGTGAAATCGCTTTTTATTTAAAAATTCATAACTTCTGTTCATCTCTTTATTAAATATTTAAATTTAACCACCTTAAATGATTTTTTCCGTACTTTTCAATGGGCTATACCGTTTTTGCAAAAAAATAAAAATTGCAATTTTTTTTGAAATTTTGCAAAATTTTGCATTTTTTGAAACAATGTGTATTTTTTAATTTTTTTTAAAATAGCATAAAATCCAAGTTTATTATGTTACCTTTGAATAAAAAAAAAATTTAGAGTGGGCCCGACATGTAGAAGGGAAGTTTTTCATATTTGAATGCCGCACGGTCTAGCCATCAAATAGCTACTACACTGCCGTATGCGTTTATACCTAGTAGATGCGAGTAAACGAATATAAAATGATAATTTAAAATGTAAAATTATGTTTGAGTAGTCATTGATGTATTTTAAATATTTACACTGCCGCACGATATAGTTTTTTAACTGTATTTTTTGCACAAATTGTTTAAGCATGGGTCTACATATATTTCGCAAGGAGGATCGATGATATTAAATAAAAAATTTATTGTTATAACCGTAACGGCTTGCCTATAAGCCTTTACGGTTATAACAATACTTTTTTTATTTAATATCATCGACTCTCCTTGCGAAATCTATGTAGACCCATGCTTAAACAATTTGTGCAAAAAAAATACAGTTTATATACAAAAGTGCTCTTTTAGTTCCACCCTTACTTCTTAAGAAGTCCCATAAGCCAACTGAATGGCTTGTTCGGGTTAGGGGTAAGAACGGACCGCGGGCTTAAAGTCCCCTCCGAAGAACTAATACACAATAAAAAAAACTATATCGTGCGGCAGTGTAAATATTTAAAATACATCATTGACTACTCAAACATAATTTTACATTTTAAATTATCATTTTGTATTCGTTTACTCGCATCTACTAGGTATAAACGCATACGGCAGTGTAGTATACTACTATAGCTATTCGATAGCTAGACCGTGAAGCATTCAAATATGAAAAACTTCCCTTCTACATGTCGGGCCCACTCTAAATTTTTTTTTAATTCAAAGGTAACATAATAAACTTTGATTTTATGCTACTTTAAAAAAAATTAAAAAATACACATTGTTTCAAAAAATGTAAAATTTTGCAAAATTTCAAAAAAAAATTCCAATTTTTATTTTTTTGCAAAACGGTATAGCCCATTGAAAAGTACGGAAAAAATTATTTAAGGTGGTTAAATTAAAATATTTAATAAAGAGATGAACAGAAGTTATGAATTTTTAAATAAAAAGCGATTTCACCAAAAAGTAAAAAATCGATAAATTTCAATAATCCATAACTCTTGAATGAACAATCCTAGAGCAAAAAAAAATTATGCTATGGTTCTTCGTTATAAGAACAACAAATAAGTAAAGTTTAAACAAAATCGGTGACAAAAATTTTTTCACCTGGTACACTTGGCAAATTTTGCCCCATATATGAAATTACATATTTAAAAGTAGTTTTTAGTTCTGATTAACTTTCGTTTATAACAATTTTCGATATTGTCAAATATAAAGGTACTTTACTCTTGCGCCAAATTCATATTTTTTGACATACCTCGTATACGACTAAAAAAAATTAATATTTGTGGGTTGCATTTTAAGTTTTACACCATGCAGAACTTTTTATAAAGAATAACTTTTTTTCCTAAAATTAATAATAAAAAAGTTTTCCATATGATTCCAAGATACTGAGACATACTGTATATTTGTTATATAACATAACATTAATATACAGTGTGACCCATTTGTTTGCGACTCACCCCTGTAAAATCTTTATTTATTGTGCGATTTTAACCGGATTTGTTTTAGATCTTGATAAACTGTATGTTTGGAGCAAAAGACGCCATAATAGTAAAAAATACAAAGCCTACTATGTCAGTTTTTAAGAGTAAATTTTTAAGAATTCATATTAGCGCTTTTTTAAACAAAATCTAAGCACGGGACTGGATTCACCACCCCTCAAAACGACCCTATACTGAATTTTATTGAAAAATTTGAAGAAAAAAATGTACAATAATAACTACAAACATTTTTTTTGTCAAGTTGTCCATGAAAAAAATATTTAAATAAAATTGAACTTATAGTAATAGTACCATGTTACCATTGAGTAAGATCTTTACTGAATGATGTTACTATTAGTTTAATTTTATTTTAATGTTTTTTCATGGATAACCTGACAAAATAAATTTTTGTAGTTATTATTGTGCATTTTTTTCTTAAAATTTTTCAATAAAATTTAGTATAGGGTCGTTTTGAGGGGTGGTGAATCCAGTGCCGTGCTTAGATTTTGTTTAAAAAAATCGCTAATATGAATTCTTAAAAATTTACTCTTAAAAACTGACATAGTAGGCCTTGTATTTTGTAAAAACATGGCGGTTTTTCTTCAAAAATACAGTTTATCAAGATCTACACTTTAAAACAAATCCTGTTAAAATCGCATTATAAATATTGTTTTTTTAGGAGGATCTGCAATGTAATACAAAGATTAACAAAGAGAGAATAAATTTCCATTAATTTTAGTATAGTCTTTAATGGTTTTGTATCACCTTCTCTCAAGATTGTATGAATGCTTGCCGGAAGAGTAATCTCATTAGAAGCTAAGTCGCAGTATATGTCATAATTTTGTTTTTTGGTTATGGGGGACTGGAGTAGGGTGTGGGTGATGTCTCCAATCTGGCCGCATTCACAATAGGGGTCGTCTCTAATTCCGATCTTAAACAGATGGGCGTTAGATAGGCCGTGGATCTTAGTCGAATGATCGTAGTGTCTTTTGCCTTTAATTTTGTTTGTGTAGAACCAGGGTTTTTTAGGAAATTCACCGACTATTCTTCCATACCAATTACCCTTTGTTTTGAATATTTTTTTCCATTTCTTATTCCAGTCTTGTTTGATATGTTTTTTGATTTCTGGTAAAATGTCATTTGTTTCAGGTAGAATATTGAGTGGAATGTTAAGTTCCACTCCTATTTTTGCCAATTGATCCGCCTTGTCGTTTCCCTTGATGTTCCAAAACCCAACCCATTTTGAATTCAAAGGATTTTTGTTGGCCGTTGCTATCAGTCTTCTTGTTGCTAGGGTAATATAGTCATCCTTTCCATTATTAATGTAGTTATTTTATTTAAGGAACTAAAAGAGTCGGATAAAATTATATTTTTGTGCATGTCTTTGGAAACTGCAATTTCTACACCTTTGCATATTGCTAGTATTTCCGCCGAGCATATTTGTAGGTCGTCCGTTGCTGCAAAGTGTATTTGGCCACTCTGACTGTATACTCCCAGACCAGTTCTATGGCCTTTTCTGGAAGCATCAGTGTAAATGATTTTAGAATCTTTGAATCTATCGATTTCCGAGTTAAAAATGGTATTATTGGTTGGATCATGTTTTTTAAGATTAAGATTAATAAGTTTAATTTCTCTGAATTGAGTTATATTCCACTTCGAAACAGGGCAGCAGACTACCTCTTCTAACTTTGTTAACATACCTTTTCAACAGGGTCAGTGATTGAATGACATTGGGGTGTTCTTTGTTATGCCAGTATGCCGATGTTCGAGTGCATTCTTGGTTGAGGGATGTGATAATAGACAGGATTGGGTGAGTCTTGAATTTCAGGATTTTAAGGATGAATTTGCTTGCCAGCCAAATTCTTCTTTACACTAGGGGCATCTCTGCGCATTCTGCCAACAATACGTTTGTGGGGGTAGATTTCATTAGGCCAGTAATTGCTCTGAGCGCTTTAAATTGTGTAGAGTTTAATTTATTAAGTTTTTTTGTAACGGATTTAAAATAAAGCTCCCATAATCTAGATGTGACCTTACGATGCCATTGTATAAGATACGTAAAATATTTGGGTCTGATCCCCACCAAACTCTTGAGACAGCTCTTAATGCATTGATACCCCTGTTGGCTCCATTGATCATTTTGTCAACCTGTTCTCTCCAATTAAGTGACTCTTTCTGGGAATTTCGTGCATCCCTATTTTTATTTTAGGGGGGGGGTGATTTTCGATTTACGTTTTCTAAACCAGATGTATTCCGTTTTTTCAACAGATATAGGGAGGTTATGTTGGTTGAGCCAAACGTTTATATTGTCTAGGGTTGAATTTGTTCTTGAGTCATGTCCGTGATACAAAAACCTTTTGTAAACAGCGCTAGGTCATCTGCATTAGATAGTAAGATATTATTTTTTGGAATTATTTAGAAAATGGATTGAATATAGATATTGAATAATAGTGGGCTTAGAGAGTAACCCTGGGCAATTCCATTCCTGACCGATGTCAGGCCATATGACTCTCCTTCATTGTATATATATATATATATATATATATATATTCCTATGAGACAGAATGTCGTAAATTAGATTAGCATAATTGGTGGGGATCTTTAGTTGTATTAGGTACTTGTATAGTTTTGATATTTTTTTGTGAGCATATGCTGATTTGATGTCTATAAATGTTAAGAATTGAAATGGAAGTTAAATAAAATATTTTTTTAGTGTTTGGAGCATTAACTACCGAAGAAAGTCTACCTAGGTCTTTAGCTCTTCGACATTGGACTTTTTTTCTTGTATGCTGCTGGTAAAATTTAATAATAAATCAGATTCCCTAGTCTATTTACTACATTTTTGTTTGATGCATTGTTTCAATATATTACTTTGTTTAAAAGATATTTTAAACTAATTTAAAAACCTGTTTTATTTTCTATAAAAAAATGAATTGCTAAATTGCTTAATATTCGTTGGAACATGGGGACATGTGCAAAAAATTCAATCTGACACCTGAAATAGAAGGCATCCCAAGAAAGGAAAATTCCAGTAAAATTCCTGTGGAAAGTTATTTTGGAACAGATAGTTTATTAATTGTTTTTTCTTTTTAGGATAATTAATTTTATATACCTTGTTTATAATTATATCAAATAATTTGTAAAATAAAATTTTATTTATATAGGCAGAAAGACCTCAGTCGGTAGCCTTTTGGTTTTTCCAATAAATATATTTACTACTACTTAAATCTGGCATATCATCAAAACATTAATGAAGTCTTTTTTGGAAACTGGTTCTGCAGTAGGTCTCTGTTGATGCCATTGATTTGCTTATGGATAGACTCCTTCAATTTGTTGTCCTTTTAGGTATTACATTATTTAAAACCTCTTAACTTATAGTTTTGAAAAAAACCTCAATAAAGTAAATATAATAGAACTTGATTTTTAACAAACTTAAAATACTAGATAAAATAAATACATATATGATAAAAAGGGGTATTTTAGGTAAGACATATTATAATATGTATAATTAATTATATGAAATTATAATTGAATATTATTGAAATAACAAGCACTTTTTATCTACCACAACTTTAAAACATTTCTTAAAAATTTAGCAACCAAGGGGAAATCTTTAACATGACTCATACCTTAAAAATTTATACAATTTAATAAGCAAAGATTTATTTTTAAAAGCAAAATATGATAAAGAACACTGACTCATTGTCCCAAATAAAAATAAAATATACCTACCTACCTAAAAGATTATTTTTAAGAAAATTTAATATAAAAAAACATGAAAATGGGCAACATAAGAGTAATTTTTTTTGTTAATTTCTTTAATTACTTACCCAAAGAAGCTAACATATCATGTAAATCTTCCTTATCAACAAATCCATCATGGTTTTGATCGATCATGTTAAAAGCCTCTTTGAATTCAGCAATTTGGGCCTGATCGAACATGGCAAATACATTTGAGGTTGCTCTTTGGGCCCTCTTTTTGGTTGTGCCCCTTCTGCTTACGGTTTTGCGGGAAGACATTTTCTAAAAAAGGATGAAAAAGTTGTATGCAGGTTCTTATGTATAGATGGACTAATTAACGAGTTTATCGGTCTACAAAATAAACATTTGGTGAAGTTTTGATAAAACTGCTTACAAATCAAAATATCCATTAAATAAACAAACACAATAAATTATTGTCGAAAATATTAAGTTACTTACTGCTCTTTTGTATGAAATAAACGAGAAACAACAACAAACTTTGTGCTATACAATCACTCTAAATTTGACAGAAGAAACGTTTGGAATTTCTCTGAGTAATCGTTTCCACGCCTAATCATGTCGGCCAATGAGAACGCGCCATTTTCATACTGGTTTTAGCGCGGGTATTTTTAAACGTCTATATTTTGCCTATTCGTTTCTTTTGGTCTTTTTAGTGTCTATTAATTAAATTTTCAAAGGTATTAAAAATAGTGAGGCTTTGGGTGAAGTTAATAAGGTGTTAATATATTTTAAATAAATTTGTTTCCATTCATGTGTTGGTTCTTACGTTTATTTCCATTTACAAATGAGGTCAATTTAAAAGATGTCCTTATATGGAAATGAAATTTTTATGTAGTACATGAAAATAACAAACATATATGGTCCGATATTTCAAAAAAATCGTTATTTTCGACATGCAAACATTAAAATTGGTATTTACACTATAAATTTTACAGGGCATGTACGTGGTTCATTAGAAACTTAAGGCAATGAAAAAAGATATCGATTTGAAAATTTAAAAGCGTTATAATAATCCACTTTTTTTATATTTTTTATATTTTGAACAAAATTCCACGGAATAAATTTGTTTTTTCAAATAGAACACTCAATATCTGTTTATATTTTTAAATTCTACATCAAATTCTGAGTAAAATTACTATACCATGTCCTATACCTAAAGTGAATAGTTTTTGAGCTATTTATTATTTTCGTTTAAAATTTGTGCGCGTGCAGTTTTAGTGATTTTTTACACTTTTCAAAGCTTTCAAACATACGAATTTTTGAATTAAAAAAAATAATCCTGGTATAGATTCTTTGGGAAATTTTATGCTCTACAAGAATCCGCGACGTAAAAAATTTTATCTCAAACGGTTCAAAAGTTATGGTATTTTTAATGAAAAAAGATTTTTTTACGTACGTGTTATTTCAATGGAAAACTTAGAATGCTCACCGACACCTTTTAAAATTGAGCAAAAAATTTTTCCTTGCAGGGAAATTTTTTGCTCGGTATGTAGGTTTATTTTAACCCATAAATCCGATAGGTCAGTTTTTTGGCTCACCCTAATATATACATATACAGTATGTCTCAGTATCTTGGAATATATGGAAAACTTTTTTATTATTGATTTTAGGAAAAAAAGGTATTCTTCATAAAAAGTTCTGCATGGTGTAAAACTTAAAATGCAACCCACAAATATTAATTTTTTTTAGTCGTATACGGGGTATGTCAAAAAATATGAATTTGGCTCAAGAGTAAAGTACCTTTATATTTGACAATATCGAAAATTGTTATAAAGAAAAGTTAATCAGAACTAAAAACTACGTTCAAATATGCAATTATATCCATTTACATTGAAAAAAAAAATATTTTTTCTTTTATGTCTACAATATCAATGCAAATTTAACTGTAACATGTAATCTAGGATTCACAGATAAACAAATGATTTGTTGATATTCTAATACTTTTTGGCCTGCTAGATCCCCTGACTTAACTTAAGTTTTTCATGTTTTTTCTAATCATAACAGATAAATGTTCATTTAAAATAGAAAGATTAGTAAAAATTAACAAAACCTAATTTTTTAATGTAAATATATGAAATTCCATATTTAAACGTAGTTTTTAGTTCTGATTAACTTTTATTTATAACAATTTTCGATATTGTCAAATATAAAGGTACTTTACTCTTGAGCCAAATTCATATTTTTTGACATACCTCGTATACGACTAAAAAAAATTAATATTTGTGGGTTGCATTTTAAGTTTTACACCATGCAGAATTTTTTATGAAGAATAACTTTTTTCCTAAAATTAATAATAAAAAAGGTTTCCATATGATTCCAAGATGCTGAGACATATATGTATATATGTATATACAGTATACTGTATATACATCCCTAATACAATATTGCGTCATTACAATTCGCGACCTTATTGCGTCTACTAGAAATACGGTATTTAGCGAAAATATAGAAGAGTATATTTTTTTGCTGATTCCAAAAATCTGGTCAGATTTTTTTTATCTTAAAAAATAAGATATACACTTTTTTTTCAAAAGTCACTACATTATCAACTCATTTTAATCTTGATATAATATTGCGTCACGTGTATATTTCATTTTAAATTTTATATGGCTTGTACAGACTTTATTGCGTCCTACAGTGTTGCCAAATTGTAATGACGCAATATTGTACTAAGGATGTATATATATATATATATATATGTATATATATATATATATATATATATATATATATATATATATATATATATATATATATATATATATATCCGTAATACAATATTGCGTCATTACATTTCGCGACCTTATTGCGTCTCCTAGAAATACGGAATTTAGCGAGTCAACTTTAATAAGATATAAATGAATTTTTAACATGTGATTTTTCTTCTATGTAATTTTTAATATTGATATTTTGCATTTTATAAAATAATGTCTGTATTAGGAATGTGAGGTTTAAAAATTTTAATTAATTTTATAATAAATTTTAAATATCCCTATTATTTTTTAACCTTCAAGGTTTTAGTTTCTATTTTTTTCTTGCTATACATTTTAACATGAATAATTACCATTAATATTATAGTAATTACTATAGTAATTCTTTTTGAAGGGTATATTTTTTAAGGCTATATTTGTTCGTATTCTTAATGAAAAATAGCATACTTACTTTACTAAGAGAAATAGTAAAGAAAAGTATACGTTTTCTGGTTAACAAAACTTTTTTACCCAGCAACACTTTTATTAAGCACATTTTAAAAATCGTAAAGAAAAGTATTATATTAATCAATGCTTTTTCATGACACTAGCAGCATAAATTCGACTTTCGCTTAACATAAGTTCTTTAATAATTAATATTATTAATTAAGCCAATTATTGTCTTTAGTTTAAACTGGTATATTTTTGTTTATGAATTAACTTAAATATTAACAATTTTTCTCTCTTAAAAGGCAGCGAAAGTCGAATTTTTATTTTGTCATAAAAAATAGTGTACATAATATTATTTCGTGGTGAAAGGCGGCGATTTCTAAATAGTGTGTTCTACATTCGCCTCGCTCGTGCAAAGCTCAAGCAAAGCTCACGATTGGTCATAGAAAACCGCATAATAGTTTTCTCGAGTCTCGAGTCCGGCAAATTTCGATACATTTTCTGATTTATACGACAAGATCTCATCTGAGAACTTCTCCAAATCATCGGAGTCGTCGAGTCCCATCACGATAGAGTCGGAGGAGGATACAGCTGATACAAGCACTAGTGCTTGTGCTACTAGCTTGATCCATGTATAGCTTCTGTTTATATATAACTATATATGTAACTATATAACTATAGTCAAGGTCGACTTGGAATTTTTGCAAGGTGTTTTCTTCGGTGTTTTCCTTGTACTGCCTATAAATCTTTTTAATCGGCCAGTACTTACCCAAGCAACAATTTAAGTATTTGTTACGTATATGGGACTATTGAAGAAACTTTAAAGTGTTTTGCGACAGTCGCCGGTCTCTTTATATTACTCTTTTATTACTAAGTTACGACTAAAGTGGGGAACAATTATTGAGTTCCAAAAAGGTAGCAAATATGTAACTAGCCATAAACCCTGCTACTATTTGGAACGTAGCTGCTACGTTACTAGAACGTTCCAGTATCGTTGCTAGAGCGTTATAATTACTTTTATTTATTTGTTTTTACTTCTATATTAACTGTCTTTGTCAAACTTATATTAGATTATACTATCCCTCCCTTTTAAATGGAACCAATACGGACTTGGCTTTTCAATGTCGTCGTTTATTAAATATGTATTACTGGTAGTTTATAACTTCCAGAATAACAATATAATGTTTAATTAGGCAGGTAAATTTATAAACCCTTTAAATTTTACTGTTGAACTTATGAATTTAGTTTTTGTAAAATAAATGCGCTTCATCAATATTTAAGTATAAACAAATTATTTATTTAATAATGTTTATAAATAAAAAAAATTTAATATTTATTATTAATTTTTGATTTCATTATTAATACCGTCTATTGCCAACAAAATTACTATTTATTAAAAAGTAAACAACCATTTACAAACAATTAAAATAATTTATTATTTACATTACCACGTGGTACTGTACAGTAAAAAATGGCCGATAAGAAGCATTTTCCTTTGAAGTAGTTTTCGCTACTTTAAAGTTTTTTCCACTTTACGGTTGTTTTGGTTAGTACCATAAACGTTCCAAATACTAAAATAATAACTTTTAAGTTATTAACTTTGTAGTTTTTAACTCATGTTCCAGTTTCGAGATTTTAACTTGGAAAGGGACTACAAAGTAAAAATAATTATAATGTAATCTTTAGGTAGCAACCGAAAGTAACTGCTACAAATTAAATTTACTTGAAAGTTTTTTTTACTTATAACACCTTTTTTAAAGTTGCAAAGTCTTCTTGGGGGCAACCAAGTTTTACTTAAATGTTTATTACTTTATAGTAACCATTTAAGGAAAAATTAAGTTATTGTTACAAAATATTGCTATTTAAAAGTTAAAATTACTTTTAAGTAAAAATTAAAGTAGCTGTTTAGTATACTTAACTAATTTAAGTTATCACCACTTTGGCAATGGTTTTTGGAACCAAAAATGCTGCTTGGGTACTCTACCGTCGGACTGATCTAAAAGCCAGCAGTACGATGATTTTTTAATAATTGAATATATTATAAATATATAATATATAATATGTATCGGAAAAATCACCGTACCTATATAATATATATTATATAGGTACGGTGATTTTTCCGATACACTGTGCACTTTTTTAGAAAAGTCTTTTTAACTTATACAACTCGTTTCCAAAGTATCACATTCGCGATCTTCATTAGAAATCTCGTTCGAAATTAAGTCCATAACTTCATCCATAACTTTATCGTCCTCATTACTAATATTTGTTTTTGCCAATTTTCTTCGGGGTTTTCGACAATTTCAGCGTTGTCTTCGTCGGCGTCTTCATTATCCTGTGTAATTGCAATATTTTGTTTCCGTCTTATTAACGGTACCTACCTGCATATATTTCCAATCGTTTTCTTTTGCATTAATTCCAA